AACAGTATGCGCAGCGATGACAAAGGTGCGGTGGAGGAGTACGAACGGTATCATGTGTCTCTCCACCGGACAGCCCTCCCCCCCAAGTCGCCATTACCCCGATCTGCTCGACTCGTAATCAACGCCGCCGGCTCGGTTGCTCCAACGTGGCACCGTTGTCTGATCCGTTCAGCTTGACGCTAGCGAATAGCGACGGCCGTCCTCAACGTCCAATCCAGAGCCGACCAAGCTCTCATCCCTCTCTACACGAGGACGGTGGTGATAGAGACAAGCCCTTCAAATCAGAGGACTGGCATCAAGCTAGCTAATAGAGATCGATTGTGCTTTAGTGGATCCACATGCATATGCCCATGCATCATGCATGCATGGGACAGACACGGATGGCTGGCATTCGATCTTACCGCAAATCTATCATCGATCGATACAACAAATTAAGCTAGCAATGCTAATTAAACATTCATAGAGGCTTATTAATTCCTACTTTGCTACTGTACAAGTAAGTCATACTAGATGCTATGTACTGTAGCTCTCACCTAGCAAGCTCTCTATATACCGAGCGCGCCATCGAGCGTGTTCACGTGGCTGGCCGCCCTGCTGGCGTGCCGCCTGTGTGTTATACATATCTGATAATTACATTTTAACTTGTCGACAAATTCACTTCTAAAATTATAATCATAGCATTATTATATTATTATAACTTATGTATAATTATATTAATTATAACTTGTATGTATGTAATTTTTAAAAATCCCGTGGTAACATACTATTACCTTGAATCCCTCACTTGTCCACGGACAGTCATTTTTTCACTTTCCCACTTGCTTGAATCTCGAAGGAAATCTAGATTCAAAATTATGTGAAAGTTATATAGATGTTACATTAAAGTTATAGGTAAGGTATAATACAATTACACTATAATTATATTTACATTTGATAAATTTTTAAAAGAAAACTTATTGCGCACGCAGCTCTGAGCCGTAGGGGCTTGGCTAATTAAAGCTAAGAACCGACATAATGACCGCATAAATGAAATATATGTATACCATTGTGCTTGTTCTCAATTAAACCGCTCGTATATGGTACTCCCTCCGTTTCATATTATAAGTCGTTTGACTTTTTTTAATCAAAGTTCTTTAGATTTGATTAAGTTTATAGAAAAAAATTAGTAACATTTACAACACCAATTAGTTTCACTAAATTTAATACTAAATATATTTTGATAATATGTTTGTTTTGTATTGAAAATATTCACTACCAGACTCATGACCTATCCTGAAGAGGAAGAAAATGTCTCAAGTCTCTTTGCTCCTCTTTCTCAAATCTTTGGAATTATGTCATGCTGCAAATGGCAGTAAAAACAAGTCAAAACTAGCGGTTGTGCTCAAGGCAAAATTTAGGTATGCACTAGTTCAATGCCCATGCTTTAGGAATATATTTTTCTATGCAAGTAAGGAAAACAGCAATAATACACATTTAATCCCTTTTAGTTCTATGCAAGTAAGAAAAACTCCAAAAATACACATATGAGGCTGTGATATATCACTTTTAATCCCATGGGAAGTTAACTTTGAACTGTAAACAAAAATTTGTGAAATATTATTTCAGTTTGAAGAAAGAACATGTTGGGCCTCAATAATTCAAATAGAAAGAAATACATTTCAGAACTCAACCCATTTAATTATAAACACTGCTCTCAACACATTTTATTATATATGCGCAAATGAGTTAGATATGCTTGTTTCTATTGTTCACACCTAATATAAAACATGTATATTTTGCATATTCTTGTTGTTATACATGTATGGTTTTACGTTTAGATTGTCATGATTTACTCTCTAGTTATTACGATGAATTGCTTATAATCCCAAACAAATGAGACACCGCACCCCCGATGTTGGAGTGGAGGAGATCATGGTTGCGTGGGCTTGCTGTGGGCTCTACAAGCGACCGGAGCTGAGCAGCACTTGTGGTTGTGGTCGTGGGTGGCGGACTGGCGGATGCGGAGCGATCGAGGGTGGCTGGGGAGTCGTCACGTGTAGTGGTGATGACGTTGGAGAGGAGTTTAGAAACTACAGAGGTGATGTAAATTTTTGCCAACTACAGAGGTAGGTTTATTAATAGCACATAGGTTCTTTAATAATGTTGCCTCTTTATTGTTGGTCTTGTCGTTTACTACATCCTTGTCATATTATCAATTCTTTTTGGGAGTGCTATACAACATTCGACAGTTTTTTAATGAAAAACTTGCAATTGTAACTACTATATAATTACAATGTAATTACGGTGTAACTACATTGTAACTACTATGTAACTGAAATATAACTGATATGTAACTCATATGTAACTCTGAAAAATTGGATGGAGCAGTTAGTTAGTTGAATGAGCATGTAAGCTGTAGGTCTCATGTTCGATCCTTGCCGCGAGCATCAGGTATTTTTTCCCTAAAAACTCGACAGTAGGATAGCAAATCAGGTATTTTTTCCCTAAAAACTCGACAGTAGGATAGCAAATCCGTTCTTTTTAGTGGCCTTATAGTACGATGTAAAAATTATAATAACCAAGTAAAACCATACGCGTTGTTGTGGAAGTTTAGTATGGTACAATAAGTCGTAAAGAGAAATTAACACACCCTTGAACTGCCTTGTTTTTACCGTGGTTTTTGACATGTCGGCTTCCACATCAGCGCACAACATAACATGGGCCAAGCCCATATTCTCTCCTGGCCGAGCCCATATTCTCTCCCTCCCCCTCTCTCTTTCTCTCCCTGACCTATTCGTTCTCCTCTCTCTCACGACCGTTGGCAGTGGCGGCGGTGTGGAGCTGCGAGGGCGACGGCTACAGCGGCGGTGTTGAGTTGCGAGGGTGGCGGCGGTATCGAGCTGCGAGGGCGACGGCTACAAAGTCGGCAACTGCGTGGCGTTGGCGTGGAGCTGCGAGGGCGGCGGCATTGACAGGGTTGCACGGACGGTCGCCAGCGGAAGGTCTGGGCGTCGTCGCCGCACGCGCCTTTGGATGGGTCTTCATGGGAACTACTTGTGGAGTATCAGTAGCCGGCCATCCAGCTCGAGCTAGTGATGATCATCATCAACGGTGGTTGTTGGTGTCGTTGTTGTGCATGAACGACTGCATGCAGATGCTTCCGCCGGCGACCGTCCGTGCAACCCTGGCAGCTGGATGGCCGCTCTCGCAGCAGCTCCCCGATGCCGCCGCCCTCGCAGCTCCACGCCAACGCCGCAGCCGCCGCCCTCGTAGCTCCACGCCGTCGTCGCCGCCCTCTCAGCTCTATGCCGACGCCGTAGTTACGGCCCTCACAGCTCCACGCAGCCACCGCCACCCTCGCAACTCAACACCGCCGCCGTCGCCGTTGCCGTCGCCCTCGCAGCTCCATGCAGCCACCGCCACCCTCGCAACTCAACGCCGCCGCTGTAGCCGTCGCTCTCGCAGCTCCGCGCCGCCACCACTGCCAACGGTCGTGAGAGAGAGGAGAACGAATAGGGCAGGGAGAGAGAGAGAGGAGGGGAGGGAGAGAATATGGGCTCGGCCCATGTTATGCTGTGCACTGACGTGGCGAGGGCTATCGTGGCATCCGATGTGGCATCTGATGTGGCATCCGACGTGGCAACCAACGTGTCAAAAACTACGGTAAAATCAACCCGAGGGGGTTAAGTGTCCGATATTGATAGTTCGAGGGTGTATTATATCCGGTTTTGTAATTCGAGGGTATATTTTGGACAAGCATAAGAGTTAGAGGTGTAAAATGGATTTTTCCTATAAGTAAAATATATGTAAAATAGCTAGAGAATATGAACTTAAGTTAGTGTGGTTTATGATAATTTAAATTTAAATAGTTTATAGAATGATGATTTAAATATAAAAGTATGGTGATATGATTTTATATTGAGAGAAGAAAAGGAGGCAGATAGTTTGAAACATAGATTAATCATTAAGGCTAAAAATAATTAAGGTGATATGATTTAATAAGAGAAGAAAAAGATGAAGATAATTTGAACCATAGATAATCATCTAAGGACTAAAAACAAGTAATGTGTGATATGAGTTAATAAGAGATGAGAGAAATCACATTACCTAAGTTAGGATGAACTATATAGGTACATAGGATATTATAAATAAATGACGAGATATATTGAAATATTATGTGAACTATGTGGGATGATGATTTAACATACTTGTATTTTAAAAGCTCTAAAATTTAATAAGTTATAAAATTATAGAAATATAACATGATTGCATAATGTTTAAATGTAATAATTGTTAATAGATGATGATGTGGTATCTTGTTAGTGGATGATGATGTGATGTTTTTGCATGTAAAGTGCTAGTATATAGTGGGTTTGTAACTAGATTCCTGTTACATCAAGAAAAGTTCAGTGTGGGGATACCACGTCAATTATTAATTCGAGTTGAAAACAGAACCTCGTATTCCCAAGCGTAGAATACACATACTTCCTCCGTACTTATGAAAGCGTAGAATACACATACTTCCTCCGTACTTATAAAAAATCAATCTAATACTAGACATGACACATCCTAGTACTATAAATCTAGATATACATTTGTCCAGGTTCGTTATACTAGAATGTATCACATTCGGTTTTAGATTCGTTTTTTTTTTTTGACGGATGTAGTACTCGTGAGTATGGTCTCCGAGGATGAAGATAATATAAGCAAAATAGTCGCCTCGTACACAATATTATTCACACAAATATTGCAACATCAAAACGAAAACAGATTGTATATACGTACACCCTCTATAAAACAAAACAAACTTTTGAGTTTGAATGTGGATATAGGCAAACTTAGAAGTTGGTTATTTTCTACAACAAATGATAGATGTCCAGATTCAGATTCGAATCCGAAAGTTGCTTTTTCTTAATTACATAGGAAGTATGTTTCAACGCGATTTCCCACTAACTAGCGAGTAACAAATAGACAACGATTAGTCCGGTCGACTGGGGAACACTGGTTTCTGCATTCAAATCTTGCAAACCAACAACGAAATTTCCACTAGATGCATACGGTTGCTCGTCTACAGTCACTGAACAATCGCAGATGAGCATTAGCTAGGCAAAGTTTGGCTCCAAGAGAGTGTAACCAACTTAGGCCTAGTTCATAAAACTGGTGTAACTAAAGAAGATTATGTCAGCAATCACTAAGCAACGAGATTTGGGGAAAATACAAATGATATATCATCATTATGGATAAGATGATACCAGTTTTGAAGCATCTAAACCTACCTCCATTTATAGCATTCCAGGAATCACTTGTCAACAACTTCAGCTTAGTTCATACACCTAACATAACCACCACCACCACCACCACAGTTCAGAAACCTAGCAATCAGCAACTAGTGTTAAATTGATCAAATAAAGCAATAAGCCATAGCTTGAATTGCTCAGCTTTTCGATGCAGATGATTATTGGCAAAAATATGATAGTGAGATTCCTCAGTGGCAATGGAACTTTCTAATGCCAAAGGTTGCAGCACCCACCATTCGGCTGAGCAGGCTTCTCCTTGCTGCAGACAACCTCCATAAACGAATCAATCAGTTGTGCTACCAGGCTCGCAGGATCACTCACCAGAGCATCTACGAAGGCGTTCACAATGCGTCGCTCCTGTGCCGACGCCTTCAGGCTAAACCATGTGAGGAACTTCACGCGGAAATCCTTGTCCATGTGCCCTTCATGCTCCAGCCATCTAATGACCTTCACACTGTATTCATACTGCCTCTCAACATGGTTCTTGCAGGCGGAATCTGGGGTGCTGCTAACCCAGTCAGGTTTGCTTGGAACTTCTGAAAGTGAAGAATTAGAGCTCATGAATGGTAAAACTTCTGATGTTGGCAGCAACTGGCTTTCGTCGTTGTCACTTGCACCGTCCAACTTTGCGAGCTTAGCTCGCTTAGGGTGCAGGTCAGGACACACATCGTTCTCATTCGAGTTTGCCGAGGGTGAGTCATATTGAATGCCCCACCACTGCTTGTTCTTCAGATTCAACTCATTTTTCTGATGCTGCTCCAAATCCTCCTTGATGGACATACTCTCGGAATTCTGTGTTGAGCACTGGCTGCTGCCATGGTTAAGGCTTCGTGTAGAGCATTTTACCTCCCATTCGCCATATCCCTGTGAACAGCCAAAAGGCAAAACCTTGAAGAAATACTCAGTAGAAGGGCTTAGACCTGAAAAAAGACTCCTTGTATTTGGTCTAAGAACGTGGCAAGTGGGCTCTGCTGGATAGTTGGCCATGTTTGCACTTCGGTGCCAAACTTTGCAACCATCAATCTCCTCAGCGATATTATCCTGGTACTTCAATACAACAAGCACAGAAAATGGAGTAATCTCCACAAAAAATACTTGAGGCTGGGGACCTGCAAAAGTGGATAAAATCTCTTCACACACAATGTCAATACATCATTGTCGTAGTATGCAAAACATTGGAAGATCATAAATAACTCTTTGCATAACAATGCCTAGTTCTGCAGGGATAATTTTGCGGAGTAGAACTGCAGTTTTGTGTGAGTCAATACTATCACAAAATTACCTGGCGCTTCCAGATTATTGTTTGTTTCGAAGTCCAGGGTGCTACTCAATGTGGAGTCTACCATTTCTAGTGCACATGAACAAAGTTTTTGAACATCAGCACCACAACAAAGCCGGTTCACGATGCCCCGCCCCGTGATTGCAGACACTTGATCTAATGCACAACCAACTTCTTTCTCAAGTATTTTCACAGCTGAGTTGATTATGTTTGCCAGTTCCCTGTAACGTTCAGACCCTTTCACCATTTTATGAGTCAGTGACAAACGCTCACACAGTACATCAACTCTTCTAGATTCTCTTGCAATTGCCAGCTGCTTACGCAGATTCCTGCAATGATGTAAGAGGTGAAATCTAGAGGTAAAATTTCACTGTGAATACTCTTGATTTTTTAATACAAGACCAAGATTGTAAGTGCCAAAATGAGAATGGGTAGATTGTAAAACTGGCACAAATTTTCAATATATAAAGTATCAGATGAATTGCTTAACACAAAAACATGATATTAAAGCTGAGCAATGCATGCTACCAAAAAAAAAGGACAGTTTTGGTCAGGGATCAGTACCACACCATGCTACTTCAGAATTAGGATAACATGCAGAACACAATTTTAGATGTGTTTGTTTCCACATAAATAACTGGAATGTTATAATTAAAATAGCAAAGAGATACCTCATTAGCCAGTTCATCTTCCCACACCAAACACAGTAAAAACTACCATCTGACTTCTTGTTGCACCCATTCTTGAAAATGCCAGCTTTTTTATTCTTTAGAGCACACTTTAGGTGGCATGATGTGCCGCATGAATAGCCAGAGTACGGTGTATCAGAGCTGCAAACCAACCATAAGCTAGGATCTTTGTTCTCATCATATTTATGGCAAATGCAGCAAGAGCAACGCTTGCAATACGCATCTCCAGAGTTCAAAGTAGCCTGGCATGCAACATTTCGGCATACCGCTGTGCTACCAGCTTGGGCCTCTCTGCACATTGATGAGTCAGACTTTGCACTTCTGCTGAAATGATGTGGCTGTTCCTCATTTTCTTTCTTCTCTGTGTCATCTTTGTTATTCTGCCCCAAAATTGAAGCATTTGCATTATCATCCTTTGGCTGTCCATTCTTTCGTAAAACTAATTTTAACAGATAAGCAATCATTTTAGATTTTGGAACATTAGTGTATTTCCTCTCCTTGCCCAACTCAGCACAGATAAGCTCAAGAAGATCTCTGCGAGTCCAACATTGTAAAATCTCAGAGGCACCTTGTGGCCATTGTGAAACTTCATATACTAATTCTCTTCTGTCCTTCAGACTCATTCCATTGTGTTTTCCCGGGTCCATGAAAAATCCTGGAAAATAGAATAATGAGGTCCAGGCCTATAGCAAATACCATCTAGCAAGGATTCAATAGAGATGAGTATATACAAATAAAGAAAGAAAAGTAAGTGTGCTGCAACGGACAGAGTAAAAATGCAGATTGACATCTAAAGGACACAATAAGTGATAGTATCATATACTGATACCAACAAACAAAATGTATAGTTGAGTCATATACACAATCAGCTGACTACCTGGCAACAATCCAATGGATGACCATAACTTCGTAAGTCAACCAAAACCCAATTTAACTCAATCAATTTAGTTGGGATTTTATAATAACTTGTATTTTGTACTACAGTTAAAAAAAATCCAAAATTAAGTGTCAAGGCGTCGCCATAGCGTCGCTATGGAGGTAAGGCGCTGCCAGTGCCAGGAGTCACTGCGTCTAGCCCGCCTTACCATATTGTTTATGGCGTCCGCCTTATGCCCAAGGCGTCGCTATGACGTCGATATCACGTCCTTAGGTGCTACAACGGTTAAAGGCGACGCCAGAGGAAGTTGAAGGCGCAGTTTTTGCCGCGATTGGTTGAAGGGCCCAAAAAAATTGGTGCGGCCCTGGGCACGAAACAGAACTAACAGAAGCGCCAATCTTAGGGGTGAAAAGGTCCCCACGCACCAAATCCCACCAAATCAGGGAGAAAACAACAGAAAGAGGGTCGCTGGAGCCTGAGGCTGTGGCGATGGCGATCCATCCCTGGTGACTTCTCCATCCCTAGCGGCAATCCCAGCTGTCACATGTGCCTATCCTGTGCCTGCGCCATCATCCTGGTCCTCGGCACCTGCGCCATCATCCTGGTCCTCCATTGACACAAAAACTAAGCGGGCATGCTCTTCTTTCTCTTCCCTCCACCCTCTACTTTCCTCTGTTTCTTTCTCTGCTCTACGTGATCCTGCTTTGCACCTTCCTCTGCTCTGCTCTTATCCTTCCTCTGCTGCTCTGTTTTGGTGTTTCCTCCCCCCTCTTCTACATCCTATGTACTCTTCTCCCTCTTTTGCCACTCCCTTTGTCCCTAAATATTTGACGCCGTTGACTTTTTTAAACATGTTTGACCATTCGTCTTATTCAAAAACTTTTGTGAATATTATTCAAAAACTTGAGTAGTAGTAGTATATTTAACAATGAATCAATGATAGGAAAAGAATTAATAATTACTTAAATTTTTTGAATAAGACTAACTGTCAAACATATTTCAAAAAGTCAACGGCGTCAAATATTTAGGGACGGAGAGAGTACTATGTTGTGGTCTTTCCTCTCTCTCCTCTACATTTCATCTACTAAACTCCTTCCTCTACTGCTCTGTTTTACTCCCTGCCCCTCCCCTGCATCCCTGACTCCCTGTTAGTAGTTAATAAATTGATATCTTGTTAAGTAATTATTATAACCATCTAGTGGGCTCAAGAGTTGCCAAGAACAAGGTATATATATGCGCGTTGTACTGCTCTTAAAATGCAACTTTGATTTGCTAGCATATTAGATTATTTTGTTTGCCACCTAATTAGTATGGAGTGCCTAAGGTGTCGCCTCGCCTTACGTCTTACCGCTATGGCGATAAGGCAGTCCGGGGTCGCCTTAGGACGCCTTACTGCCTTAAAAACCATGAGTCTACCAACTGGCCAACAAATCCAAGATTTTGAACAACTGTCGATTCAACAAAAGTAGATAAACACGGACGAAGAAAAAAAGAAAGAGTGAACAAGGGAACAAGAGAAATTCTTGGGTGGACTCCACACAACCTATGGTGGAGACTGGAGAGAGGAAAGCAACTGCTATTGCTATAGCAATCAGTGTTATCTGATCGTCCGATTAATCGCAATTAATTGTCCTGATCAATCCCCTGAATCCGATTAGGGACATTCATTCGATCAGAAATCTGATCGTCCGGTTAATCGTCAATCAGGCGCGATTAATCGTCTGATCAGAGCACCTATGATCATTTTTAGAACAAGTCTTAGGGTTTAGCACATGTGAAGATGTGCTACTACTGCTGGTTGCTTTATACAATGATTGCTTTATACTACGGCAAGTAATTGACCATCCTGCCATCAATTATGCACTGTGATTGCTTTATACTGTGCACTATATAGAATATAGGTTCTGGTATACATAGTATCGATCAGGTCGATTAATCAAGGCTGATCGACGATGAATCAAGGCTGATCGACGATGAATTGACCTGATCGGTCCCTTGGCGATCAGGATCGATCAGCAATTAGATAACACTAGAAAATTGGTGCGCCGTTAGCGCACCATCCATATAGCAAACCATATTTATACTACACGTACTATTTATTGTTATTCGTAAAAGCGTAACATTTTAAAGAGATCTTTTAGCAGTTTTTCAATTTTATGAAAACATTATATTTGTAAATATTTAAATTACAGAGGAAAAAAAGAATGATGTCAAATATATGTTGGTTGATGGTCAATTTGATTATTATTAATAAGATAAGGCTAAAAGGCGAAGTTTTATATGAAAATCGTTTGGGACTTCAATAATTAGAGGTTTCTTACAATTGCCCTAACAGTTGGATTGTTTTTTTAACTGGTTATGAAAGAAATGGAAAATATTTTGTTCTTTTCCTTCTTCCCATATTTTTATTTTCTTTCGGCCTAATTATAACCTTTTAAATTCTCTCTATTTCTTTTACTTTAGGATTATTAAATCCATTATTTTGATGGTTAAAAATCTTATCATTTGTATATCTACCACGCTCTCTCTTTTTTTTCTCAATATTTGCTTATCTTCTCAGTAGTCGAAAATATTGTCATGACTACGAGAGGGCAACAAAGTTCACGTGCTATTTGAAGAGCCACATGTGAATGGATAGGGACACGCCTCCATATCTTCTATTGCAAGTAGTACACCATTTAGATGTCATAATTCGTAGCTCCATATGTATAATTCGGAAAACTATAGCTATACCACCTCTCTTTGGACATTCATAGTGCAAGACCCTCCTATAAAGGACCTCAAAGTATCATGTAGGATGAGGTAACATGTCTCAAATTTGTTTATCCCATAATGCAAAGTAACTCTAGAGATAGCTTTGATTTTTCATGTCGGGCAATCATATTTCTTACTTTAGTCCATATGTTTTTCAAATTTATAGAGTAGTCCAACATTACACTGAATACCCTAAAAATTAGAAACAAATATAAAATCTCACCACCCTATCCTTTCCCAATTCGCCGCTTCCATATCGTAGAAAATTGGCGCACCATCGGCACACCAACTTATAGCTATGATATATTTACTTATTTAGAACAATTATTGTTGTTGTTGTTTAAAGTTTCAAATGCAGTACTTGATAATTTCTTTTCTTTAAAAAAAATCTATACACTTGTAGATTTAGAAGAACCTATTTAATGAATTTTGAAAAGGTTGACGAACGATTAACCTGTAATAATAACCGTATTTATGTAAAGATTTAAGCATTGTAAAAGAATTAATACAGAAAGCAAAATTATGTGTAGTACTTGCCTATTTACTTTCAAACCTTTGTTTTTCTCTTCCATTAGACAGAGTGATTAACACCTATTAATAATTAGTAAGATTAGATGATTAGTGGACTGAAAACTAAAGGATATAGTTTTTGACAAGTCTCTCTAAGAGACATTTCTTGTGCTAATCTACCAGTGTCACCTAGTCCCCTCTGTAGTCTCATATACGATACCCCCCACATCTTAAAAATAATATAAGCTAATCATAGGTACAATGGAACATAATTAGAGCAATATTATCAACAAATAGAGTAATATGGTTAATTAGTTTATGCATGGCTAATTCTTCTCTGCCGCATTTAGCTAGCTGTACTTGTCTGGTGTATAATTATAATTCAACCTGAAAACAAATTTTGCTAATGGAAGATTAATTTGTTTAAGCGTATATACATACCTTGAACAAATACTTTGGAAGATGTGTCTTTTGAATTAGTATGATTTACAGAATTTGTCAACCTATAGGAAAATTACGAAATTTATTTAAGGCGTAACTTTTTAGGCAAATGACTCTAATTGTCAGCTTAATACGCAGAGCCATATATAAAAGATTACTCTTTGTATTAAAAGTTAAAACCAGTCTTGAAAAGTTAAAGCATCCAAGGTCTTGGAAATCAATATGTGACTATGTGAGTACTGAAATAGTTTGTGCGTGTAGAGAATTTTACCTTTTTGACTGCCTATACTTAATACACGTGAAGGACCATGTAATACCTTAATTTTTCTAGAGACTTCGGATGGGTTACATCTCTAACTTCTTCACAAGGGTCAGGCAAAGGTGATTTATTGACTCCAGAGTTTTCCTAACAGTTCAGTGGACAGGAGAATGCAGTTTAAATATGCATAGGGGAGGCCACGTGGCACAATTTCAGAGTAGCCTTACAAAAATTTGTAAAGTGCCACGTGGCCCAATGGGAACCTGGATCCTGCACCCTGAAATCGTTATTTAAGATTGATAGCAACAGAATGAAACAATCTTTTGATGTAATATACAATGGCCCTAACTTTTGTTTGTCAGCTTAAATTTTCTATACTTTAAAGGAATTTTACCATACCACAAATTTTGCAGACTGACAGAAATTTTACTAATCGTCTTTGATGAAAACCTGAGCTTCCCAAACTGATTGGAACAGCATCCTAGAATGATTTATAATTCCAAAGAGCAAACACTACATATGCAAAATATTAGGCATATTTAGATACAACTTCCATTGGAGAAATCTTAAATAAATGTTATGGAATGACACTACAACACGATTTCAGGTGGTCACTTAATGGCATCTTCCTTACAAGTAGTTCTAGCAAACTCCAACATAGTTATTTGTCTATCATAAAGACAGAGATCACTCTGTTTCACAAGACATGCCCAGTTTATTGGGAAAAAAACTGTGTCACAATAATTGTTCACCGGACTGATCCATAGTGTAGCCACTTTATTCTGTTCTATATTTACCCATTCTTTTAAATATATGAAGGAGAAGCTTGGGTAGGAAAGCATACAGTGAAAGGACTGATACTGCGAAATTGAAGGACCATTGTTTTCAGGAGATGGAACAGGAACTAAAGTATTAGCTGATATTGGTGGTGCAAATCAAGGCAGATACATTACTTATGCCATTAGAAAAGTAGAACGTGGAAGGGCCTGAGAGCATGTACGGAATAGTAATCCAAATGGTCCTTTTTTGAAAGATTCCAAATGATTTTTAGCATTTGACCTTAGTCATCCAAATCTGGCCAACACACTAATAACACAGTAGTTCCAGTTCACTTATAGGGATTAATTTGTATGTGTTCTCTATTATTAGTGTAGCGTATATCCCCAAAACACTACAGTCAGCGTATACCTGAAAACAGGGACTTTTATTACCACATCCACCAGTGAAAGCTCATTCGGCTCGAGGAAATCCAAACACTTGCAGTACAGAGAACCTTCCTACTCTATGACATAAAAAAGTGAACTAGTCAGCACCTTACGAATGGGAAGATAATAACACAAATTGATTTCAATAAAAGAATAGGAGCAAAGCATTCTTGAGAAAGAACACAGGAATAGCGTGAGATGAACAGTATTCTTCATTTGCACAAGCATTATTAGAAAATTTTATCAGGTCTCCACAGCACAGCTTCACCTTTGTTCAACATATGGGTCTCTGCATGGTTGGAGAAAACGATAATACTAAGTTGTTGGGCACATGTAAACATTTCATAAAATGGTGATAACAACACTTAACAAAACCAACAGCTTTTTAGTCAGAAAAAGGCATTGGACCCTACCATGCGAAACTGGAGGATTCCTCGGTGTTCCTCACGACATTCGAGTAAAAAACAACCAACTTTGCTTGACCCCAACTCTCTGCAGGGAAGGGAACAAAATCTTATCGCATTGTACACTCAGGAATAGTTGATAGGAGTATAACCAAAAACAAAAAAAAAAGTTGCAACAAGGCAGTCGCACTGACAGGGGCGGACCTAGCTGGGACATGAGGGTTCGGTTGAACCCCAAAATTCTCTATTGGGAACAGATTAAACTGTTACTATTGTTATTGCAAGGGCTAACGCAAAAAGTGCAAAGAGAAAAGCTGCTTCCAGATCTAGAAGAAAAGCTAGGGCTAACGCGAATTCGAAAAAAACAGCGCGGGTAGAGCGAGATGAGAATGAGCATGGCCATGGATGCTCACCGGCGAGCGAGGATGCGGAGGACGCAGCAGACGCCGGCCGGCTGGCGCCGCCGCTGGCGAGATCGACGCGACGCAGGCGAGGCGAGGCGAGGTCGGCACCGGCGCAAGAGGAGGAGGAGTCGCACGAAGCGAACCAAGATCGTGTGGCGGAACGGAGCGGCCCTGGTCGCATCGGGCGGGTTCGCCTCGGCCCACGGCAACAAAATTGGCCCACAAATAACCTCGCTGGCCCACGGGCCCACCGATCGCTTCTGGGTCATGCGGAAGGAAAAGCGGGGCCGACACGAGAATTTTTTTCGTTTTTAGATTTTTTTTAATATTTACAGAAATAATCTATCGACAAAAAAAAAAAATTACAGAAATAGCCCCTGCCGCCCTAATGGTGGGCAGCAAGCTGACGTGGCAGACGGTGGGTCGACCGCGCTTTCTGCCGCCGTCGGCCAAAATTGCGATTAGGCCCTTGCCGCCCATACAAGGGCGGCAAGGGCCTAATCGCAATTTTGGCCGCCCATAAAAAGCTTGCGGCCGTACTTTTTCATCTGGGTCCCTTGGCCGCCCATAAAGAGCTTGCGGCCGTACTTTTTCATCTGGGTCCCTTGCCGCCAGTACGGCCAAAAGATTTTTCTATGTTATGTTAATAATAAATAAAGAAGTATTTATTGGTAAAACTTGTTAATATTGTTATAAAAATGTATTGAAGTTGGTTGTTGCGCAATTTCATATGTTAAGTGAGGTATTATTTTGTACCTTATTCAACGTATTAGTACTCGGATAATTTATATAGGCCTATCGCAGTCTGGGTCGTAGAAACATTATATGGACTTAAACAAGGAGAATTATATAACATGAAGAAATAGTAGTACAATTTGAACATGATACAACTATTTGCATTGCGGTTACATAGATGATATTAGATTCGGACTAGGAGGGAGGTAGTGCAATAGTTGAACACAACGACGATGTAGTAATGGGACAAGGAAGCATGACAGTAAAAATTTCAATATGCCAAGTTGTCCGATAATAGCTAACCCCTACATGAGGTTCCCTCTCCTCTCTCAAACCGCGCTTTAGTAACCCTGTATTGCTCTGGTAGTTCAAGCTGCACAACACGGTTAGGTGGAGTTAGAACTCTTCTGGTGTCTATCCATTCTCTGTATTGACATCTCCTTGGTGGTTCCTGGGAGGAAAGAATATATGTAAAGCAAGCAAAGTTAGTAAATGTTGTGAGAAAATAAGGATTCATGTAATCAAAATATTCTTACCATGAAATCGTCGTCAAGAATATTTGGACAAACAAAGAACCTTCGACCCAATGTTGTAGGATTTATGGAACGAAGAACCTGACAACGATCACCACACCTGCATCTTGGACGGGCTTCCCATGGAGGGAGTGCCGTAGTTAGCACCCGCTAGTCGCTCTGTTGTTCACGACATTGTCGTTCATAAGCCGCTTTTCTCTGTAAGTATTGCTCAGTACTTTCGGATGCGAAATACCAGCGACCTTCTTGTAAATAAGTGGTTAGGTCGAGAACGGGATTTTCTGTATCGACCCACTCGATGTATGCGCAAGCCGTAGTGCGGGTCTGCCGAATAGAGTAGTGTTACGAAGAATAAAGCGATTGCCCATACGAAATGAATAAGCATATGCAGATAATAAAATACCTCACGGTCATAGTTAGGGCACCTAAAAAAGCGCCTTCCTCGAATATCAGGATTCCTCGAAGCCATTAGTTGGCATCGATCACCGCATAGGCAGAGAGGACGCTGGCACCAAGGTGGTAGTAGGTATACACAAGGATCGCTACGTCAGTTTGGATCCTTAACACCCCGGCGTCTAGCCATTGACGAAAGCCGGTCGGATTTGTAATGAAGCAAGTGGGGAAGAGAGTACTGAATGTGACTGAGTTCTGAAAGATTGTGAGGCCTCACTCGTTAAGGCGACTTATATAGGCGCAAAAAATCGAGTGATACCCCTGACATGTGAACGTGGTGGGGTATGGTGGGTACGCCTGATTGGCGCCGAAAGATACATGCATGATCGGCGCCGAAAGTTACATTGGTCGTATGCGCCAAATGGCGGGCAAATACTCGTATCACACACGAATAAAGGAGGCTGCATCGGTGCGGCAGAAAGTAGTCGTGCATGCGCCGAAAGGTATCGTGCATGCGCCAAAAGGTATCGTGCACATATAACAACAACGTAGTCATTACACAAGCATACAGTACTGGAAAGTGAAGCAAGTAAACAAAGAGAAGACTGCTCTACTGGCCCTGCCCCGCGCCGCGACCACGCTTGGTCCTCCGGGCCTGTGCTCGCACGTGGTCCTGGGAGTAGGTGAAACGATCCGGTGGCACAGCACGGGTAGCACGAGTGTCCCGCGGAGGAGTGGCCTGTGCCTGGTCTTGCGTCTGCACCGGCGGTGCGCCTCCCAGCTGTGAGGGGCCGATGACGTCCTCTATCGAGCCTGAAGCGAAGTCGAAGTCAGTGATGTCGAAGAGCAAGGTGGAAGGCAGCAAGCGGTCCGACGAGGTCCCAGCATGGTCCAGTGGTGGACCCTGACTCGACGTGCCGGCTGCCTGTGACGAAGTCCCGGTGTACTGCCAGAACTGCGCTGAGTGCGAGGTCGACACAGCTGCCTGAGACGCTGACCCTGCAGCCTGGGAGAAGTGGGCGGCCTGCGTCATAGCGAACTGGGCGAAACCTACACATCGACAACGGGACCCTTGTAAGCTAAGACATAAAATGTATGTAAATTGATTGTCGAAGTAATGTTGTTTTTTTAAGTACCTGTGGGGGGCACAACAGAAGGCCTAGCCGAGGAAGGCGGGGTGCTGAACGGTGCACGAAACCCTGAAGCAATCGGCAAGTGAAACGGCTCACTTATATGTGCGAGGCATGTACAGAAATAGTAATAAAAATACTTACCTCCGTGCGGAGGGGGAGTCGGCCTAGGAACGTGCGCAGCTGGATGGGGACCAGTCGGTACGGGTGGCCGCTGTACAGCTGCGTCTGCCCGAGCAACGTCGTCTGCACGATAGGTGAGCACTCGGAGAATCGAGCGCATCGACTCCACCATCCGCGTGTACGTCGTCAGGTGCTCCTCTACGGGTACCGGAATCCCCGCGCCTAAACGTTGGATCGTCGTTGAACCGTGAACGACGACTCGGTTGATGTCGTCGACCTGCATGGTTAATTTGTTCGTAAATATTCGTAAAATTTGACGAAGAGAAAGACATGAAAACATAAAGGAATGGTGCGATGCAGGGTACTCACAGCACGAGCGAAGTCCTGGTCGCGGTGCATGGCATAGAGGTCTCTAGTGCTCGCAACGTGGGGCTGCTGCTCCAAGGGAGCGAAGGTGACCCTAGTATGGGTGCGTGGCTGGTACCAGTGTAGGTAGGCCTGGTACGACTCCTCAGTGTGTGGCTCTTCCTCGTGGTCCACGACCTCCTCGGTTGCGAGCAACCAGTCCTCAACAAAAGTCGCCAACTTGGCGGGCCAGTCGCCAGCTGACTGCTGACCCTTGCACGAGTACCTGCGAATTAATGTGTAATATTAGTGTGAAACGACAGATGTTACAAATTATTGTGAACAGGCAGATTTTAATGCAACAACGGAAAGCGTAGTGCAAGATCTTACCGGTGAACAGCAGCTGGGACGGTAGTCGGAAACGGTACTGGAAAGGGCTGACGGAAGCCGAACTGCCGCATTACGCGGAAAGGGGCGTGAGGCTCAACGCAGATGTCGAAGACCATCGGAACCGTAGTCATCCAGTACGCCTGGTCCCTGGTGCAGAGTGTGAACAGACCCAACGGCGCACGAGCCTGGGTAGCCGCGGCACTGTAGGGCTCCCACACGACGTCAGTCGGCAGAAGGCGGTCGAACTCCATAACAAACTCAGGATATGACCGCCTAACCTGGACGTGAGCCCATCGGCGCTGCAATACAAGACGATTGATGTGATGTATAATGAACTTAGCAATTAACTTAACAATACGATAAGATCGATGCAACGTACTTGACGATGGCACCACAGAGTACCCATCGTAGGGTAGTCGACCTCTGGTTGCTCCTCGTACAGTGACTCCTCGTACGCGTGCTGGTCCACCTCAGGGCGGCCGATCGCAATCCTCTCAGCTGCCCAGATAGAAAAAAAGAGAGGGCACCCACCAAAGGTTGTGCTGGGATCCGTCTTCGTGCAAGACTCACAAAGTGCACGGTACAGAGCCGCCAATAACGCGGAACCCCAGCTCCATTGAGGCACCTCGCCTACCGCGGCGTCGGCGATGCTCCTGGCGTAGTGCACGAGTCCCTTGTCGACCGCGTGCCCGTGACCGCCACAGAACATCACCCAGCCAAAAAGCCAGAGCAAGTACGCCTCCAAACATCGGCTGTAGGAGTACTCGTCGGCCTCCGCCTGTAGCTGCTCAACCTGCAAGCCGTCGATAAAATGTTAGGCACCTTAACTGCGGACTAAATATGTAATACGATTGTCATTTCGGTACAAAAACACTCACGGTGAACTGAAGCAGCCACCTCTTCGTAGGTCCGGTGTTGCAGTGGTGTGCCAACGGCTCGAGCGGGAGGTGCGGTGCGCGCTGTACTAGTGCGAAACGTGCTGTCAGATCGTCCTGCCAGTCCACAGCCGTGGTCACTGGCCCAACAGCGTCTCCCGCGAGCGGTAGCCCCAACAAGTACGATACGTCCTGTAGGGTAGGGGCTACCTCACCGCACGGCAAGTGAAAAGTGTGCGTCTCTGGCCTCCATCGATCGACCAAAGCTGCTAGGAGGGACCTGTCCACAGTCCATCGTCTGGCCGGGTCCGCGTCGCCGGCCGCAGCCTCCACTAGCCAACACATCGATAGGAGGCCGGCCTCACGTAGCCTGCAATAACAAATTAATATGTCATTATAAAAAATATTACAGTGCAACTAACTTATAGTAAAACACTGTTCGTACCTCTCGACAAAAGAGTCGTGAACCGTGAGTAGCTCACCGCACGTCCGTGCCCGGAACGTCCCAAGCTGAGCCCCCTGCACCGCAGTAAGGTGAGACCGGTGTCGGTGATCTATCGCCGGGTCCAACAACTGAGGTGTATCCTGACGTGCCATCTCTGAAAAATATAGTGTTTCGTGTTATAACAATTCAAAAAATAGTAATGTAAAACAAAAGATAACTT